AATCCATCTGGTCCGGGTGATTTATCCATCTTCAGACCTTTCCACTTCCCCAGCACCTTCTCCTCAGTGATGGCCACTACACTCACCTCTGCCGCTGATTCTCTTGAAGTTCTGGTATACTGCTGGTGTCTTCCATTGTGAAAACCGATGCAAATGATACCTATTCACTTATTCATTTATTAGTTCCCCATTACTATATCTCCAACCTCATCTTTCAGTGGAAAGGGTGCAAAAAAGATTTACCAGGATGTTACTGAGACTGGAGGGTTTGAGTTATAAGGAGAGGCTGGATAGGCTGGGACATTTTCTCCAGAGTGTCAGTGGCTGCCCCATATAGAGGGTCATAAAATCATGAGGGGCATAGATAAGGTGAATAGCAACAGTCTTTTCCCCATGGATGGGGAGTCCAGAACTAGAGGGCATGGGTTTAAGGTGAGAGGGGAAAGATTTCCACACTTTTCCACACAGAGGGTGGTCTGTATATAGAATAAGCTGCCAGAGGAAGTGGTGGACCCAGATAAAAATACAACATTTAAAACACATTTGGAAAGGGACATGGATAGGAAAGATTTAGAGAGATATGGGCCAAATGCAGGCAAAGGGGACTAGTCAGTTTAGGAAACCTGGTCAGCATGGACAAGTTGAGCTGAAGGGTCTGTTTCCATGCTGCATGACTCTATGACCATATGTAAATAATTGATCTTCCTTTAACCTGACCTGCTTCACAAAGCTGTCCTGTTTAGCAGAACTGAAAACTGTTTTAACCCCTGTTCTACTCCCAGGAAGCATGAGCTACATGGACAATGTGGGCCCTCATTACCACCATGGAGGCTGATGAAGCGAGCAGTATGTAAGACTGCAAGACCTTAAGATACATGTGCAAAAGTAGGCCATTTGGCCCATCAAGTCTGTTCAATTCAATGAGATCATAGCTGCAAGGCTCGTGGTTTGAGCATGATGATGAGACATTTAAAGATACATTCGCCTTGACAACTTGTGAGGTGACTGAAGCTATTTTGCACAGGTTCACAGGGTAGGTATGTGCTCCCACTTTCTTTCACACTGTCCTTCTGGCCCACAGTGGTTCGAGAGCTCCTCTTCACCTGTCCACCTCCTCCACTAATGCTGCCCGTTCTGTGTTTCACAGTTTTGCACTATCGCCACCTTGTTGAACCGTTGGGTGCAATTTTTCTGGCCCTGTGGTGACAGGGTTGGAGATGGAGTGGTTGATGGTAGAGGGGGCTGGACTGGGAAAATTCAGCAGGTGTTTCACAGATGCATTTGCACTGTCATGGAGCTTAATTCCCGGGGGTTGGACTGGGAATGGAATTGGATGCCTGTTCCAGGGGACATTGTGCAACCAATTAGGATGGTTAAGGCCCCAATGGGGGAGCACGATTTTACTCCCTTGGAGGAATGTTTCTGCCAAAGGAAAGGCTGGGATGGCTGCACCACTGTCTCAGTTGGTATTGCTGTGGAGTGATTCCCACTCTGCTACCTGGGACTTCAATCGTACCTTCAAGCTCCGACCAGCTTTCTTTCAAATCCAGGCTGCCTTGAGACCCCTTGCCCCAATAGGGAAGCATCCCAGCAGCCATTGACCTGCCTCAACCATGGCCAGCTTTCCCAGTGTGCCCGGCCTCTGCTGGATCAGGAGCCCACCCACAATCCTCTGTAAGGCGGCAACCAATTAAACAAATGGCACCATCACACTCACTTCTGCCAAGTGTGGCCTTGGAAGTCCCCAGTTGGTTCCACCGTAAGGGTCCTAAGGCCTACATTAAATCCAGTTTAATTGTTAAAAGTTATTTTCTTTACTGTGCTCCAATACCCTTCCCAACCTCCTCTTTAAGAGCCGAAAGCTGGCTTTCAATGGTACTGGCCTGGAATGAAAACAGCTAACGTGGGAAATCACTCCATGGTGCCTTTAGCACTGGGCTGTGTACTGCTATCATTTAAATTTTCAAGCACTTTGAAGCATGTGTGCTGACTGCACCAGAAGGTGGAGACACAGGTTAATTGAACATTGCCATTTCTCCAGGCCCTGTCTGGTTTGTTCACCCTTTGTTTCTAAACGTCCCAAGGTTAATTCCTGGTCAAACAAATCCTTTAGTCCAGCCAGTCTAGGATGGGTTTGAATCAAAGTTTCCAAGCAAACTGATTCCTGTTCAAACTCTATGTGCCAACCAGAGATAGTAGGAACTGCCGGTGCTGGAGTCTGAGATAACAAAGGTGTGGACAATAATAACAAACCTCTCAAGAAGGGTCCCAACCCGAAACGTCAGCTTTCCTGCTCCTCTGATGCTGCCTGGCCTGCTGTGTTCATCCAGCTCCACACCTTTGTTATCTGTGTGCCAATCAGTTGGTTTTCTTAAGCTAATATTGCGCTATCTTCACACACTCTAACAGCCCAACAGCCATCTCCAGGCCTCTCAGTGCCACTATCAATTTTGCCAGGTTTATTGCAGTAGAGTTAGGATTTTACTGGATTTTCACCAGTGATTTTGAGGGACGACATTTCATAATCCCTTCATGTTTTCTTTGCAAACCATGAACAGATGAACTTGGGCGTTTAACCTTCTCTGCTTTTTTACTCTGATCAGCTTATTCTCAAAAGACATCTAATATTGTGCAGCTGGTGTTAGATACATTCTGGTGTAATTTACACACAGTGGTCAGCACTATTGTAGCCAGTGGGCTGTTGGATATACAAATCAGACCAGCAGTCATTTGTACAAAAGAGACAGGGAGGATTCTTGAAAGGCTCCTGCATTTCTGTAGCCACTAGTAAAGGCATTAGGGTTCATCTTCCATGTACCTCTATTGAGTGATTTTCATCTGCAGTTGTCCCATGCTCCCATGGGTGCCCTTTCCAATTTTCCATGAGGGCCACTGTCTTTAGGCAATGAGCGTCAGCTGGTGACCGGGACCTTTGCTCAATCCACTCTGTTTACAACAGAACCACGTTATGTACCGAAAGACAGATGCTGCAATTTTCCACTAATGACAACGCTGCTTCATTCTGATATTAAACAAACCATTTCATCACAGCCAGAATGAGAAAATTTTTGAGAGTTTGGTCTGAGTCATAATGGGAAATATTTTCCATAAAGTTATTGCAGTGATAACTTTGCATTACTGGAATGGCCAGTGTGTCGTGTGAGACATTGACCACGTGAGTTTGGTGAAGTAAGTAGCCTTGGGAATAGTCCCTCTTACACACCAGAGTTGGTTTCATGAACGGAGGATGCCAATCTGCAAATATGAAGAATTAACTGGTGCATTGCCTGGACTTGCTGATCTATTCAGGGAGCAGCGGTAGAGACCATTTGTAAATTGCTATACAAAGTTGTGATAAACAATGGTTTATAAGTAGCAGCAATCCTGCTGGACTAACGTGAAGTGGGTGCTCTCCATATCAAGTCTAGATTGGAAGCTATTCAGCTGTGACAGGGTTTCACTGGATTGAAAATTTGAGTTAGATTTCATAGCTGGTGCCTTATTTAAACATCACACACACACACACACACAAGCACACGTACACACATTCTCTCACACGCACAAACAAGCACACACACACATTCACACACACACAAGCACACACACATTATCTCACATGCACACACAAGCA